GCAATCGCCAGCTCAAAGTTATTGCTCGCGGCCGTGAAGCTCTGCGTCAGCGCCAGCCCGTACCTGAACCCGCACTTGAGCGACACGGCAAGCGTGACGAAGAACACCAGCCCGAAATACACCACCAGCGGCGCGGCGACCCTGACCACGCTGACGATCTGCTCGACCACCCTGGCGCCCTGGCTGGCGAAGAGCACAAGGATGGTGAACAGCAGCCCGATCAGGCTCCACGGCGCGGCGAAGCGGATGAACACGTCGTGGTAGAACTTCGGACCGGCCAGACGCAACAGCGCAAAGCGGGTCAGGACTGCCGCCGCCAGCGGGATGCCGAGGAAGACGGCCACGGAGGTGGCGACGGTGGAGTAGGAGATGTGCGCGACGACCGCGTCCCTGGGGCCGATGACCTGGGTGAGCAGCAGGGCGACGGGGGCGAAGAGGACGATCTGCAGCAGGGAGTTGAAGGCCACTAGGATGGCGCAGTAGTTGTTGTCGCCGTTGGCTAGGTTGGTCCAGATCAGCACCATGGCGATGCAGCGCGCCACGCCGACGAGGATGAGGCCCTGGCGCAGGTCGGGTTTGTCGGGGAGGAAGGCCCAGGATAGGGCCAGCTGGACACTGTCAGTTATGTATGCGGGTTAAGTAGGGGTGGGAAGGGGGGACTGACCATGATGAACGGCGCGATGATCCAGTTAATGACTAGACTGAAGCCGAGCTGTATCCAGACTTGGCGAGAACGGAAGACCTCGTGCAGCTTCTCGTACTGCACTTTGCAGAGGATGGGGTACATCATGACCAGCAGGCCGACGGCTATGGGGACGCTGACGGAGACGAAGGTGCCGCGTTGCAGGGCGGGACCGACGGAGGGCACGAAGTTGCCGAGCAGGATGCCGACGAGCATGGCGAGGAAGATCCATAGTGCCAGGAAGCGGTCGAGGATGGAGAGGGATTTGAAGGTTGAGAGGCCGGCGCTGGAGGCCTTTGGGACTTCATGTTGGGGGGGAGATGGCTGTTTCTCAATGTCGTTGTTGGGAGAGAGTGTTGGGACTGGGGGGGAATTGGTGATGGTGGTGTCTGGTGTCTTGCCCAAGGGGGCTTCTTCTTGGATTACGGCGGTCATGATGGTTCACTCAGTAAGTGATTGTCTACACACGTTGGAAGAGACACAAGGCATACAGACGCGACATGTCGATGATTTGTACTCGCTTGGGGGCGAACGGTGACATGTCTGAGTCTCATTTGCTTTGCAGTGCCAGTCTGCGATGCCCAGCCTTATGGGCATAACTGAGGAGTCTGGCGAATCAGATCAAGGCAGTGACATGTAGTCCCCAAGATCTTTGCGAAACCATAGAAGATTTTCGACCAATCAGAGCTCTGCAGCATGTTGTTCGGGTTACAGCAGCTTTAAGTGGTCGGAGCCTAGCGACTCGCTTACATAAGATACAACCAGGTACAGGTCCAGGAGACCGTTCATCTGGGAGTACAGCGTCGTTGGATGCATTGATTATCGCTCGGGAGTCTCGAAGTTCGTCGTATGTTTCGCAGAGATGTCTGCGCCGCAAGACGTAGAAGAAATCGGAACCCTGGGGTCGTTGCTGATGATGATTAGCGGTTCGTTGGCTCGCTCCTTTTCCCTTCGCCTGCGATCATTTCTCGTCTGTCTGCCATCCATGCTTCCATACCTGCAAAGGGTCGCCCTGGATCTTCGTGTTTTGTTCCCTTCCTCCCTGTAACTTGTTGCTTCTCGGCGTCGCGGACAGCTTTCCATGCTTTTGATGGGATAAGGACCCAGATGTGATTCCTCTCGATGTTGTTTTCAGCAGTATTGCCAGCATCGGGATGAAACACAACAGCCGCTCCGCATCCAGCCAGATATAGCCTCCAGCAAGCACAGTGCACCTCAAGGCCTCACAGCGGTGCTCGCCGTCTTGGAGCCCACCAGCAACTCGCGCCGAACTAGCTAGTCCCGCATCTCGGCGACTAGCGTCTGGTACGAACAGCGAACGACCCCAGGCATGTGAATGAGATGAACTGTACCGCGGCCACGTTCTCGCAGGGCATTTGTTATCTCGACCCGCTCGGCAGAGTTTTCCTGTGTTGTGCGAAGATATCCATCTTCACGATCCAACTCATCCCAATGATGCTTGGGCGGATGCCAGATGTCATGCCACCTGACACAACCAGCTGGGGTAGGTCTAGATGCTGGATGGCACGTGCTAGAAGTGGGACGCGTGTGCCACGACGCTAAACCAGGTCGAGCCTAGTTCTGTGCGGCTTGTCTCAGAGCATCAGGGTCCAAAGTTACCGATGGGCAATTGACAGACGCATCCAGGCAACATCGTAATTGGGCAATTGATGTGCGAACTGCTCGATACCTGGAGAAAATGGTCGCGACACAGGAACCACGGAGAGGGCAATGGAAATAATATCGTGCAACACTGGCGACGCCGATGCCTCGGTGCGGCTCTGCCAGGACCACGAGCCGAGGCCAGTCTGTCCAGGTCAGCGGCGCCAGGAGATCAGACCACCAGTCTCCGAGTGATCCTTCCACATCGATCCTTCTTCTAGTCCCGTGTTAGCTCTCAAGTTTCCGGAACCAGCAGATGCGTGATACCCACATATGCAGCCCAGGGAACGGGATTTGAGCCTCCATCCCGTTCCGGGGCGCCGTCCTGACATGTGTCACAGTGGCCTCGTTATGTTGACTGTGGAATGCCGCCGCACAGTGGCATGATGTTGTCGGAGCGATGGCTTATAAAGGTAGCCGGGGTGAGCTCGCAGTACGCAGTACGCAGGAGACGTCAATATTCATCCCGACGAATACGTTATACGAAGGTTTAATCCATAAACCCCATTTACATCACTTAACAAGCGCTACAGTACCACAGCATGTACTATAGCCACGGTAACTACGAGGCGTTCGCGCGCCCAGCCAAGCCCGAGGGCGTCGACAACAAGAAGGCATACATCGTCGGCGGTGGCCTTGCCGGCCTCTCGACGGCCGCTTTCCTGGTGCGAGATGCCCAGGTACCCGGCAAGAACATCACCATCGTCGAGGAGCTCCGCATCCCAGGCGGAGCCCTCGATGGCATGGAGGAGCCCGAGAAAGGCTTTGTGATTCGCGGCGGCCGAGAGATGGAAGCACACTTTGAATGCCTCTGGGACCTATTCCGGTCCGTTCCATCTATCGAGGTCCCCGACGCCAGTGTCCTGGACGAGTTCTACTGGCTCAACAAGCGGGATCCAAATAGCTCCCTTCAGCGGGCTACCGTCAAGCAGGGTCAGGATGCCGAGACGAAGAACCTGTTCACCCTCAGCGAAAAGGCACAGAAGGAGATCATGAAGCTCTTCTTAATATCCCGCAAGGAGGTCGAGAACAAGCGCATCAACGAGGTCTTCACCCAGGACTTCTTTGACAGCAACTTCTGGCTGTACTGGCAGACCATGTTTGCCTTCCAGAAGTGGCACTCGGCCCTCGAGATGAAGCTGTATCTGCACCGCTTTGTCAACCACATTGGCGGCATGCCCGACTTCTCCACCCTCAAGTTCACCAAGTACAACCAGTACGAGTCGCTGGTGCTGCCTCTGGAGAAGTACTTACGCGACCACGGCGTCAACTTTCAGTACAAGACTGAAGTCAAAGACATCGACTTTGAGATCACCGCCAGCACCAAGCGCGCCACGCGCATCCACTGGGTCCAAGACGGAGTGGAAGGCGGCGTTGACCTGGGGCCGAATGATCTCGTCTTCACCATCATCGGCTCACTAACAGAAAACTCAGACCTCGGAGACCAACACACGCCCGCCGTAGTCAAGGAGGGCCCGGCCCCGGCCTGGGAGCTCTGGCGCCGCATCGCAGCCAAGGACCCGTCCTTCGGCCGCCCGGACGTCTTCGGCGCGCACATCCCCGAGACCAAGTGGCAGTCCGCCACCGTGACCACGCTCGACAAGCGCATTCCCGAGTACATCCAGCGGATCAGCAAGCGCGACCCCTTCAGCGGCAAGGTCGTGACGGGCGGCATCGTGACGGCGCGCGACTCGAGCTGGCTCATGAGCTGGACGGTCAACCGCCAGCCGCACTTCAAGAAGCAGAAGAAGGACCAGATCGTCGTCTGGGTGTACGGCCTGCTCGTCGACCAGCCCGGCGACTACGTCAAGAAGGCGATGCAGGACTGCACGGGCGAGGAGATCACGCAGGAGTGGCTGTACCACATGGGCGTCCCCGTCGCGGACATCCCGGAGCTGGCCAGCAGCGCGGCGCGCTGCGTGCCCGTCATGATGCCGTACGTGACGGCCTTCTTCATGCCGCGGCAGGCCGGGGACCGGCCCGACGTGGTGCCCGAGGGGGCGGAGAACTTTGCGTTCCTGGGCCAGTTCGCCGAGACGCAGACGCGCGACACCATCTTCACGACCGAGTACTCGGTGCGGACGGGCATGGAGTCGGTGTACAAGCTGCTCAAGGTGGACCGGGGCGTGCCGGAGGTGTTTGGGTCGACGTGGGATGTGCGCACGCTGCTCGAGGCAGCGAACCAGCTGAGGGATCACAAGGAGCTAGGGGCGTGGATGCCCGAGCGGTTGAGGCAGTTCTTGATCCATCGTCTAGATGGCACCGAGGCGGGCGAGATGCTGCACGATCATCATCTGATTTAGCTTGTATATTTACGCTAGCTTGTGAAATGCTGTACATAATACTAATGGCACGGAATGCGATTGAGCCTTTTTTTTTCTAGCTGAATACGTATTTAAGACTAACAAGGTAGCCTAGGGGTTGTCTGAAACCCACCTGTTCAGCTCTCGTCGTCTCTTGCCTGCATCTTGGCAGCACGCTACATTTAATTGCAGGTGTATCCAGCTCTCCGCAGCGGGTCGTGCACACGTCATAGTTGCGCGTACAGGATGTCAACCATGGGAGGAGGTACTGTACATCACAGATCCACCTCGTGAGTCAGCCCGACGTCCGCACAGATCTTATGTGCTAAAACAAAGACCATGAAATGTCATCTGGTGTGATGGCCGAGTGGTTAAGGCGTGAGACTTGAACTATTATATCTCATGGATTAGTCCGCGTAGGTTCGAACCCTGCTCACATCGATTTTTTTTTCATCTAGTACTTCCTCTACACTACCGTAAGTTACCTAAGTAACTTATGTTACTCTTTTCTTACTTTAACTTCTTCTTATCTTAACTTTTTTACTTTTATAAACTATAGAAGCTTGTCAAAGGACTTATGACAGATATGAACGTATTCCACATCTCTATCAGCAACATATGCGCTGTCCAGCGCTCTAGTGACGCTATATGCAGGCCGTCGCACCGGCTACAGGTGGCGTGCCAGCGAGAGGCGCTGTGGCTTCTTCACTAGAGCGCGCTGGAGCCAATCCCTCTGCCTCATCAGACATTTCCCTCTACGCTGGACTTTAGGGCACTTCAAGCGTGTGTGGAAATAGAACATGGCCCCACGGATTGACGCTGTGCAAAGCTGAATCTAGCCATAGCACGAGGCCTTTTCGCAAACTTTATCCGATGTGTGTCACCTGCAGTTGCAAAGGCGACAGTCACTGATCAGTTACACGTAGACTCGAGTTAATCTCGTGTCGTTAGGCGCATCGGACGTTGGATCTTACCGGCAGTCCGTGGCCATTGTGCCAAGTTCTGCGTGCTGTACCCGGCTCCTTTGATTGCTATTCGCAGCCCAGGACCGGATTGACGTAGAATCCGGCACATCTTCTCCCATGTGCTCCATATTATAGCCCATCTACTACTACAGTAGCACTGTTACAGTCGCACACGAGCTGCAACAAGACCACAAGGGCCCCAGTTTACATCTCAGGAACACGAGCTAGAAGATTTGGTGCGGGCCCAGGCGGAGTTACAAGACTTAGATGCGGTGCCTGCTGGCGATCAATCGTCCACTGTCCTGCATGGCGACTTGGTAAATCATTATCTCTGCCCTGGTCGATCTCGGCGGCGTGTCGCCCTAAGCCTCCTTGAGGACCGGGAGGCTTCAGCTGGAGAGAGCGGACCGCGCGAGCCAATGTTTCGACCCGCCAAGTTCCATCCCTTTCCACCTTGGCGTCCCGTCAGGTCATCTGCATTTCTGCATAGTTATCCGTGGCTTGACTCTCTTTAGACTCTCGAGAACTCGCGTCGCACTTTAAAACTCTCATGTCTCTCCTTTTGGTCTTTCCTTGGTGATAAACTTGGCCCCTTTTGAAACACGAGAGAACGACACCGTCCCTGTCAGCAACACGCGGCTGGCATCCCTGATTAGAGTAGAGATCGACTCCCTGAGTCCCCTCCTCGTGCTGTGCTTAATTCCTAATACCCACCACTCCCGATTCCTCCGCCGCGAATCCGGCTCCCTTGACTGAAAGTTGACTCTGAGCCTTCCTCTGCCGGCACAGAGAGACAGACAACGAAAAGAGAGCGCCGAGAGCTGAATATCGATTTATTGGACTGCCATCCCAAGTCCCGACCAACCCGGGGGAGGATGACGTTCTGAGCTGCGACAGAGTGCACACTGCCACACGCGGAGCTTCCACCACCCCGGCCCCAGCCCTGCACCACTGCTGCCCCTCTGATTCGAGACAGCAGACAGCCGCAACCCCCTTCCAGTCCTACGACGGGCCAGCAATCCCACGCCAAGGACGACCAACGTGAGCTGACGAGGAGGGTTCAATTGCGCCATGAGATGAATGGTCCGGTCCTTTCGATGGCTCCGGCTGTCCAGGCAGAGGTGCCATTCCACCGTTCGCACTCGACCCCGGATTTGTTGTCCAGCCTGCCGAATCGTCCTTCCACCGTCAGCATAAGCTCGCCCTTGTCTCCCAGCCAGCTGAAACATAGGACTCTCAGTCTGAAGAGCCTCCCGAGCCTCCCGGCCTTCGATGTCCCCTCGATTGACTTCGACTTCGAGTTCAACGACGACTTCAAGACGTCCCTGCGTTTCGACACCAAGGCCGTGACCCACGATAAGAAGCTGGCAGCAGATGACCAGAAGAGCGTCTCGCCGGGCAAGACTGCACCGACGACACTCGCCATCCCTGCCAAGCCTGAGAAGGCCGGCCGGAAGAAATCCATGATTGACCGACGTCGCTGGCTGCCGAGTTCCAAGTCGAGTCCTGATGTGCGCATATTCGACGACGAGGTCCCCTCGACACCCAAGATACCCAATGCGGTGCCGATAAGGGAGAAGGAGGCTGCGCCCCAACCGAGAAGCCTGGAGAGATCCAGGACTATGGAATCCCTGGCCGGTCTGGCAAGAAGATCGTGGATTTCCAGCGGCTCCAGGTCCCCATCACCTTCTCCAAAGAAAGGCAAAGACAGCAGCCGACAAAAGACGACGGCCAATGGAAAGAAAGCCCGGTCTGAGATCGGTGCGGCCTCGGGCCCTTCCGGAAGCCTCACAGACCCGCGCCCCGGCCTAGACGGCGATGCGATCCAGCCTGCCGGGTCGCCGAGCAGCAAGGGCCGCGCGCTCAACAGAGCAAGTGTTTATTTCACGAAATTCAGCAAGCGACCCCAAAGCTTTGTGAAAAGCGCCTCGTCACTTTCTCTTTCATCCTCGTCCTCAAGCATCAGCAAAGCAGGTGCTGCGGACAACGACACAGCCTCGTCAGCTCCGGCAGCCACCACAACGCCATCATCCTTGGGCACTGACAGCCTCACCATCAGTAATAATAATATTTGTTCCCTTAATCACCGAAACTCCTCCCAGACGACTTCCTCCTCCACAACCGACACCACAGGCTGCGTGTCGGAAAACGCTTCCTCCCAGGCCACAACGGACACGGGGCTTACAATGCCTCACCCGACTTCTCGGGACCCCTTGTGGGCGACCTTCAGAAAGCTTGACTCGGACTACGCCGCGTTCGCAGCTAAGACCTCGACGGCGGCGAAGATGGGTGCTGTGAGAGGCACACTCGTTCCATTCCTGAGCAATACGGCCGGCCACCCTTCCAACTGCAACCGGGCAGTTCTCACTCCGGAAGACGTCGACCGTCGCGCAACCATATTAAACAAGTGGTGGAATGGCCTCCTAGAAATGCTAGACAGCGGCAGCCAGTCGGTAATGGCCGGCATGCGCGTCCACAGCAACCTCGCCTTCAACACCACCAACCACATGAACAACCTCCAACCCGTAGCGGGCGTCGACCGTCCGACCCTCCTCGAAGCAACAACCATGATCATGATGCGGCCCGAGTGGCGACTGAGCACGACCTACTTCCAGCCACTCGCAGAACGCTCCCCGGCAGAGATCCTACGGCCCAGATCCGGCACGGTCTCGACGGCCGACACAGACGACCAGAGCGCCTGGGCCCTGTCGGGCGGCGGCGCCGAGACCATGTTCGAGACGGCAGAGCACAACGTCCGCACCATGTTCGCCACCAACCTGACGACGCAGATGGCGCTAGTGGTCGATAAGATGTCCATGCGCCACGCGCCCACCAGCCTGGTGAACTGGAGCGGCAAGGCCTGCGCCTACGCCTTCTTCTTCGCGCCGGGTATCGCCGACGTCCTCGTGCGGCTTTGGGGCTTGCGGGCCGACCTGGTGCGCCGCGCGGCCGACGCGTTCTGCCTGCCGCGGCGGAACAAGGGCGAGAGCGAGGATATCGTCGCGCTGTTCCCGCCGAACCTGGGTGGGCTGGGCTGGACGAGCGTCAAGACTATAACCGACAGGCTGCGGCTGGCGCCGAAGCTGCCGCTGCTCGCCTCGAGCATCCAGTGGCACGGCCCGTGGGTGTCGCGGTGGCGGGGCGGGGACACGGATCTGCTGTTCATCTTCTGCAAGTACTACTACATCTTAGCGGAGGAGTTTATGCCGAGCGACCTGCCACTTGTCGAGAAGGCACGTGGCCCGGCGTTTGTGCTGCTCCACGCGCAACTGCTCGCGAATCTGGACAGTTCGATCCAGCGGCAGGGACCAATCGACGCGTTGACTGGCCCGCCTCTGACGGACGGGATATACGGCGCTGACGCGTCCATGTCCGCGCTCTCTCTACCACCGTACAACCTCATGAAGGGCATGGCGGAGAACCGGCTCGTCATACTGCTCAAGGACATGCTGGCCGACAACACGGTCGGGGTCACCCCGAGCGTGAAGCTGACGTTCGCGGAAGCCTTCATGGCCGTCACCAAGAGCGCGACTAAGCGCACCTCGCGCTACGAGCACACGTCCATCTTCATGCTGTGCGATTATCTAGAGGAGGTCTTGACGACGTACAACTACTACCAGCACACCCTTAACAATAGTTACGCCACGTCCCCGCGGGAAGACGCCTTTCCTCTGTTCGACCCGTCCGTCTCCTCCCTCAACCCGGCAAAGCAGACCGACTTCATCGACTGGCCTTTCTGGTTCGACGTCTGCAGACTGATGCTCGACTCCAACAACACCATGGCCGAGATCCGCGTGCTGTCCTTCGTCTACTCGCTCTGGGACGCCGTCGTGGCCGATCCGGCGCGCAAGAAGGCCCTGGTCGTCGACTGGCTGCTCTCGGACGCCACGTTCGACCGGTTCTTCAACAACTGGTGCCCCATGGTGAGGGCGTACTACATGCGTCTGCTCTGCTGGCGGATCTGCAGGGACTCCGGGAGCGCGAACGAGGTAGACGAGCAGATCTTCTTGCTCGCTGCGCAGCGCCTCAAGACGGTATGGGCCCACTACCTGTGGATGAAACAGAACGCCGACGAGGGCAAGAGCCTCCCCACCTCCACGGCGCCGTGCTATCCGACGCCCGGCAAGCGGTTCATGATCATCCGGACCGAGGTGCAGACGCCGCAGCCGGGGCTGTTTGTGGGGTTCGACCAGTCCCCGACGAGTTTCTCGGGTGGTACCGAGGGCGTGCCGTACACGGGCCCGGCTGCCGTGGCGGCCGATGCCGGCGCCAGACCCGACACGGCCTCCAAGAAGAAGTGGTCGCTGATCGGCAAGGTGCTCTCCATGACGGCGGGCGCGGCCGCGGGAGTCAATATGGCGGGCGGGAACATGAAGCGCACGTGGGACAACGACGAGCTGGAGCAAGTCCGCAAGGAGACGGCCGCGTCTAGGACCCGCGGTCCGCCGCCCCCACCGAAACCAATCTCCACTGGAG